CAGGAAACACATTGGACTTGTACAAACCTCAGACTGTGAGGCGAAGACTCGGGTTTCAAATTAAAACTCTTCCACAAACAGTTTCTTCTTCAGCCAGGATTTACCCACAGTGGTACTGTACAGCAGAGAAGTTTCATTCAGCACTAAACGTGTTTCTATTCACTTCTCAGCGTCTGTTTCAGTCACTGACATGTGTCAACAGCTTCTGTCTTTTCTGGACGAGGCTGAAGGCTCAGTGCTGGACTCAGAGACTCACTGCAAACATCCCATCATGGATTTGTTAGAAAACCTCTGTGGCCAGTGTTAACTGGTAGTTATGGTGTTCAGACACAGAGCTGCAACGTGCTTCATAGACAACGTGACAAATACCACAATCATTAAAGAAAAGTCAAAGACAAAAGGTGCAAAAGTAAAATGATGTGAAAACTTGTGAAGATTTAACATCTAAATCAGTCTTGTCAGTGTGTGCGTGTTACGGTTTTTATCCATGCTTCCTATTTTTCTGTTGTTTTTCCTCGGCTTCCCTGTCTCTCCCTGCCTGTCATGTCTCCACCAGTGTAATCACTCATCATCACATCCCCATGTTGCTCATTTACTCCCAGACTCTCCTGTCATATACACGCCCTCTTCCCATTCATTCCCTGCTGGTTCGTTAGTCTACTCACCAATTGTTCCGTCTTCGTTGTCTACACTCACTTGCTCCCCAACCTGCTACCTGACGCTCCAGCTTTCTGTTCTCCAGCCCTGACAGGTACTCCATTTGCCTGCCTTCGTCTCCAGCTCCACTCTTCCTGCCTGCCTTTGTCCAATACCTGCTCTGCCTCTGTCCACTCTCTCCTCCACCCAGTAGCCTTTCCACTCCCAGTGTGTGTCCATTTTGGGTCCTCACCACCATGAGCCCTGACAGTGCCACTGTATCTTTAGACAGCCGCCAAACTCTCTCACATCTGTTTGTCTTTTCACTGCTTTGTGGAGCCGTTGCTCTGCTTTTCTACGTCTTTACCTTCTGTCTCAGTCTAAAGTTTGACCAGCTACTTTGACATCACGCGCCTTTGCTCTGTGTTTTATTTATTGTGTCTGGTTAGTGCTGTGCGGATGACACAAATGCAGAGTGTGTGGTTTGGGACTGTGGACCAGCCCCTGTGTGTGTGTTCTTGCTGATTATGTTGCTTGTTTTTTGTCACTTGGGATATTATGTTTTATAGCTATTACATACTGTGTGCATTGATTTTGCTTAAAGGTCTGTGTAGTTCACATTGTCTTGTGCCTGAAGACCCCTGTGCTGAAACTCAGTGTTAAGTTCTGTTTACCTGTCACTGGGCCCCATGGGGGGGAGGGAGGGTATCAGGTTATGCATTCATAAATCTTCATGGCCCCAAAATAAGCTACAACACTTTTCAGTTCTAACCTAACTTGAACTATACACAGACAGTGATTCTGTCGACAGTGTTACCAGGTCCACTATTCTCCAACCCTAACCTATCACAGCACGCATGTACCAGAGCATTTCTCCACTCCGACCTAAAAACAAAGCATCTGAGTCCTGTCCTCAGCCGAGCAACTTCTTAACTACCTCGGTGACTTCAGCTTTCACAGCTTCAGTTTTAACATATCCGAGCCCAGCATCTGGACTGGTTAAAGCTCACATTGGGCTGGTGTTGGGACAAAACATGGTTTCTGCAGAGTTCATGAAGTTATATTTATGACTTTCCAAGAAATTTTAAGCCACAAAAAAATGCAAAAAAATACTTTTATCATGGTCACAGTGGCCACAGTGTTAAATACAGTGTATCAATCTATGAGGCCTAGAATTATTGCAGGTAATGTTTATTTTCATTAGTAGTTAATCCTGATTATTTTTGCAATTAATCAATCATATATTTTATCTATAAAATGTGAGAAATAGTTGTTAGTTAAGCCTGTTACAATTTCCCAGACCCTAAAACCAACAGCTCAAAGAAAAAGCATCATGTAAACATCAAATCAGAATTGAGAAGTAGAAACAAAGATATCTGGCATTTTTGCTTAGAAAATGAAAGTGTTAAAACCGTTTGTTACCTTATATTCAATGTTTCCTTCTTCAGCCTATAACCAGACACACAGAGAAGATGGATCAGGTCAGGTGACAACAAGTAAATGGCAAATAGGCTTCCTGTTACACACACTGCACGGCCAAACGTGGACAACACCACGTGAGTCCTTATCATGAACATCAGTGTTGGACCGCACTAGTGCTAAGTGTCTGAATGGGAGTGAATCCCTGCAGCCAGGTCCCAACATCTGCCCAGCCTTCACACAGGCCCCTGGCTGTGATTTGTTAAACTGGGAGCTAAAAGTAGCAAAGCAAACACTGTCAATGTTGCAGCATATGCCGAAAATTTGACCGGTCATTATTGTTTCAAAAGAATGCTAAGCCATTCATTTGAATGGGGCAAGATTTTCAAAATGAGTAAATCTTAACCCTATAAAACCATTTGTATCATATTTATGAGGACGCAGGGACTCTAGAGGTTAAACATTTCTACAAACTATTTTAACTGTCAGATGCCGAAGGGCAGTTCTGACTGATGTTTACTCCAAACAAAGAGCACAGCAGATATTGGCGGTATACAGGCTCGTGTACACAGTCTTACTCGCAATAACAATAATTACAAGCTATGTTATACATGTTGTATTAATGTGGTGTAAACAAAATATAGCAGTAATTAGCTTGAGACTAGCTAGGGTTTGCTGCAGCACCACTGGCTAGCGGGCTAACTTAGTTTAGCGGGATGGATGTCGCGTTAATCCCGGGGATAAAGGACGGTACTACCTCCGGTGGTAAATACGGCGGTGGTGTTTTGTTGTTCCTGTTGTTCTTTTTACTTCTTCTTCTCCTGCCCCGTTTGCCTCTTCTCGTACGCGACTTTTTCGACGTTTTCTTCCCGCTACTGCTGGAGCCGGAGCCCTGTCCGTGTCTGCTATGTCCGTTTGACACTGCAACGCTTTCGGTCAAATCCACCATCATTGAGCTCGGGGTGTCAGCAGCGGCCTGAAACTGGGGATTACGGGGAGCTGTCTGGACTTACGGTAATGAAATGCCCTATAATAATGATAATAATGCTCTTCTTTCTGCCATCACATCTACCGAAACGCACGGCCTGTCTATGTGGAGGATGCTCTCTCTTCAGCATCAACCCTGTCAAGTCTGCGCCACTTATTAGCATACAACATCCGGTTATGACTTTCAAAATACTTTACCTACAGGTTTTGCCAAACAAGAAACGGGCTTAAACTTCAAAATAAAAGTGGAATAGGTATTGAGACCTCTCTTATAAGGCATATACTATACTTAACATTACGCTATGAAATTTAAACCTTACACATGCCTCATACGCCGCACGATGCCGGATAGCCACTGCTTTTATTCAGAACACACCACAGAACAACATGAACTTATACACATGTAGTTTCCTCCCAAAAGAACCCACTAAAACAAAGCTTCCTCCCCCCAGAACACCTGCTACACTGTGATCGACCACACCAGTCCTCCCCCTCTGGGTGTGTAACTGTCCATATGTTGTACATGTGTGTGCGTGCGTGCGTGCGTGCAGTCCATAGCGCTCCACCAGCACGCTACAGTATTTTCCACTAGTATGCAGTATAGTAAGTTTTGCACTGTCAAGAACATTTAGTCTGTTCTGTACGGAAGAGTATTAGGGCCACTGCATAATTTTTTTTTAAAATTCTGACTTTAAGGTCAGAATTCTGAGATTAAAGAACCCGGGCGGATTTTTGTTTGTATAAAAGGGTTGGACTCTGAGAATAAAGTCAGAATTTTAAAAAAAATTTATGCAGTGGCCCTAATACTCTTCCGTAGTTCTGGGAGACCTTATTTGTATTTGAAATAAACTGTTTTAACTGTATTTAATCACAGACGAGTCCAACCCTTTAATTTTTATTTTATTTTAGACGGAAGTAAGGACTTTTCAACTTTTTCCCTCTGCTAACTTGACACTGAAGCGAACGCTGGTGGACCAAAACTTCTCCTTACTCATCTGCATGTCTGTGTGAGGGACTCGTTGTTATGTTTACAGCCACTGTTAGCCTGGGGATGCTAACCGGAAGCTACCGTAGTTAGCCACCAACAACAACTCGCCACACTGCAAGAGAACGAGCTGAGCTGACAGAACCCGGGCGGGTTTTTGTTTGTTTTTATTTTCCCACCGGTGCACCACCATCTCTGTGAGGGATGTGGAAAGTAACTTTACAAGCGTTCGGTGTTCTGCTGCTGGCTTGGCTCTTTGGGACCTTTGTTCTGGGGTGTTTTCAACAAAACAAAGTAAAACCCCAAACGCAGCACGAGCATCTGAGCAGAGCATCCGACAGCGGGGACCAAAGCTGCCTATGCCACGTAAGTAATCTCAGCACGGTGCTCGTGTCAGACCTGCTGTGAAAACGGGTTTTGACACGTTTGTAATGATTTGTAAAGCTGCAAATGTGGCTTTATGATACGACCACAGAGGAAATATTCTAGCACTTTCTACTGTCATTTTAATTTGACGTCACCGTGTGATGCTAGCTAGCAGCAACTCTTTGTGTGCAAGTCACATTATTACTCTATAACTTATAATAATCTGTCAGCTATAAAATAAAAGTTAGTCTAAAGCCACAAACAACAGACACTGCTGTCAAAGAGCTCGATGCCAAGTTAATATCGATCTTTGTTAGTTATTCAATAAAAGCTGTTTCTAGGGTCCTATGGAAATTTATTATTAACGGATGGTAATGTATAGAATATTATAATATATAAATGTGATATTTTATATCACATTTAACGGTGCTGCCGATGTTAAGGTGAGAAATGACGTCGCTGCTGGTTTCTGTAACTAACTTCCATCTATTTTATATAAGTATTGTAGCTACTGTGAGCCTTTACTGTAAAATCAATTAGGACAAATTAAAAGGAGCTCATTTAAACAAAATTACACGTCTTGAATTTAGATATGGTGATTTTTAGCAGAACTCGATGTTATTTCCATTGCCGAGTAGAAAAGCGTGGTGTACTCCGATTGGCTGTGGCTGAGCTCCCGCCTCTTGCCCTCTCATGGGAGTTGTAGTCTTCTGCTTCAAAGCCAACAAGTGCTCCCAAGGCCCTCAGACACCGAAGAGAACTACAAAGTGGTAGAAGGATGGGTTTTGGCTTTACAGCTGGTTGTTTGGGGGCTGGTCCTCTGTGGGCACGGGACTGGGTGTCTGTACCGCCAGCTCGCAGATAGAGCCGCAGCTGTGGCATATGGCCACAGAGTTCACCAGAAAGAAGTTTTAATATTAAGGAAGTCAAAACAGAAAAAGAAGTGGCGGCAAGCAGCAGGATGCTGAGAGGATTCTGGCTCTTACTGCCTTTCCTGGCGTTGGGTGGACCGCTGCACTCAGAGGTCAGCTGTGGTTTGGTTCATGTCATGTGTTCTGTAACATATTGAGACTTTTCAGGTGTTTCTCAACATCTGTGGGCGACCAGAGACTTATCACAGTGGTCAAAAATGATTTAATAATTCAGAGGCTATAGCTCATATATATCAGTGTTTTCATATCAAAACCTGGCTCCATATTTTTGGTCTTATTTTGATCTGATAAGTCTGTGTTTGTTTGTATATAAATGTTTGTTTAAAGTTAAATGAGGTAGTGTTTTATTTCACAGGTCTAACGTGATCTAAGAATTAGGGGTGAAATAGAAACTTTTCTCAAAAAAGCTCCAGTTAACTCTGTTTATATTGAAAACTTTATTCATCGCATATGTTGAATTAACTGGTAGGTAAAGTCATGTTTTTGCATGTTTATTTGACCTGCTGTTAACAATCAATTGGACGTGTACCAACTGAACACTGTTTTCCTGTAGTGAGGACGAAATTACCTGCTTTTTTTTACCACAGGAAATGAAAGTACAATTTAGTCGGTTAAGTTGTGAAAAACACTGATGTGGTCACCGTACATTCAGAGGCAGTGATCCAGTCTTTTAGTTTGCTTGTATCCACATTTATGCAAATAGAAACAACAAAAGAGACGAGTATAATAGCAGAGCTCAGGTAAAACTACTAAGTGAACAAACAGACTATAGCCTGCAAATACAAGACTTTGAGTTTCTACTCAGTAAAACATAGGTGATGTGTTATCTCAAGACAAGATCTAATCTACTCTGCAGCAATTAGTCTGGTATTCAATGATAGAATCATACATTTAAGTGATAACAAACCTGATCAGGTGCAGCTTGTGCACATTGACAGGTGTACAGGTCGGGTGAGTTGAACACACACTCCTGTTTTCCAGCCAGTTAAACCACATGCTTATGCTGGATTCGACTACAGGTGGTGGTGGTTTACCTGTTGCAGGTTGGAGTTACTTAAAGCCTCCTCACTATATGCTGGAGTTGTTAATGCCCCACCTTTAAGGCTAATCCCAGTGAGCCACACTACTGCATTGGGGGGCAGGTTTCCTCCTCATGGAAACATGGGACGGATTCACTGTGCACAGAGTCACTGGTGTCTGCTCCACTGGCTTCTCATGCTGCAAGTGTTTTGAAAATCTTTTTTAACTCGTTTTTTAACTAGTGAGATGTCTGAGGAACTGTTTAATGGTTTGTTGCTTGGGGAAGTTGTGTTATTTGTGCTGTGTCCCGTCATATGGTATGTGAAAGTCCTCTTTGTGCAATGAAATGCTTCTCTGTCTGCTCTGCTTCAGCTCACTGGCGTCCTGGACGACTGCTTCTGTGACGTGGAAAGCATTGATGTCTTCAACAACTTCAAGATTTACCCTCGCATCAAGAAGCTGACGGAGAGGGACTACTTCAGATACTACAAGGTAAGAACTGCTGCTTCTCTGTGAGTACAGCGTGACTCACTGTCCTCATGAATAACACAGTTAAATATTCATATAGAGCTCATGTAATGTCTTACCTTCCAGTCTGTGGGCGGACATCAAATTTTTAGAATCAGTGATGGAGCATTACTGGCAGAAGATCTGATGGCCCAGCTGAGAGAGCCGTGCACGGCCCCAATGGGCTGGTCCAGCCTGTCCACCTCCACTGGTCTGCATCTCTCCTCCGTGTTTGTTTTGCTGCCTCAGATTTGTGGCCCTGCAGTCTCATGCCCTTTAATGGGCACTGACGGGGCGTTAACCTATGCTAATGAGAAACAACTGGCATGCACTTTCTGCCTACGAACACTTGGGATTCATTGGTGTGAACAATTCTGTGGTTCAAGAACACATTCATGAATCAGACGTTGTGAACAATTCTGTGGTTCAAGAACACGTTCATGAATCAGACTTAATAACCACTTACAAAGAAATTTAAGAGAACACTTAAGAAGGGTTCTGTCTGTACAAAGGCAGAGCTGGATCAGACTGTTACTGCTCCCTCTGAGGCTTCATGTGGATAAAAGGCCATGAACACAGGGAGGCAGAGCTGCTCAGGGTTTCACCCTGTAGCAGGAGGAGGAGCCACTGACAGCTTTGGGTTGTGGACGAGGACAGAACAGTGGTCGCCGGCAGCACAGGGGTCAGACTTTCCAGGTGAAGGGTGAAAATAGAGCAGCCGACAGGTGCAACATCTGTGGAACATCTGTGGAACATCTGTGCCGGCACTGTTCGACTTCAGCTGTAGAGACACTGGTGTGTCCAGCTGTTGGATCACACTGACAGCAGCTGGAAACCTGGAGGTTTGACCAGTGGTGTAAATACAATGGCTCTGTGTGAACATCTTTTCTGTTTCTGTTTTTTTTAGGTGAACCTAAAGCGACCATGTCCCTTCTGGCCTGATGACGGACACTGCTCCATCAAAGACTGCCATGTGGAGCCCTGCCCAGAGGTCAGAGATCAACAACACCCTCACCTGCTCTAATAACAGCAGTACATTTTAATGTAGTGCACTTTTCTAGAAACTCAGAGAAGCCTTAGACGGCAAAGTAGGTGAGTAAAAAAACCCTACAAAAAACAACACAAGGGCAGAATATGGATTTACGTCCAGCATCTGTCTGCTCACGCCGACTGACCAAATCACTGGCACTATTGATTTTTATGTTATTTATTCTGGCTGCTATTAATGTAGTTGTTTATTTATAGCACTTTTCAAGCAGGAAGTATAAAGTGTTTTCCAGTGTTTGGAGAACAAAGACAGTGACAGGGCATGTTAGGTCACCTGTTTGTATAGATACAACAGTTATCTGTGGCTTTGGTTTAACAGCTGTTTAACAGTTTAAAGTGCTTCTTATGGTTTTATGATGGTGTGTTTGTGTTCTATTTTGGTTTCTGTAAAGCTCTTTGGCCAACCTTTTGTTGAATTTAAGGTGCTAACTACACTGAACAGTTTCAAAACACTTCATTCTGTTTTGAGATGCATGACTTAGGGCGTCTTTATGCAGTTCAGATAAAATATCTCTTCTTGTTTGTTTGTTGACCTCTTGTGTTTACAGAGTAAGATCCCTGTTGGAATCAAGTCTGGAAACTACAACAAGGTGAGACCTCATGCCAGAGTCCAAACCGAACTGAGGGTCCTGCTCCAGTGATTATATTCTAACCACAAGTCATAGCTGAACCAAACTGAGCTGAAACCTGTTCTTCATACTGTTAATGAAGTTTGGGACCAGCTGTGTTTGTTCCAGTACTTTGTCTCCTGAGTTGCTAAAGCTCTAAAACTCTGGACCACTCAGCTTATCTCCTCTGGTAGTTTCCACTGAGTGTTTGCCAGCCTGGTGTTTGTCTTGTAATGAGCCAGGAGTATTTGAACGTCTGCTCTCGTCTCAGTCAAGGTCGACTGATTAACTGGCCCTCAGCTGGGAAACTCAGCAGCTAGTGTTAGAATCAGTGGGAGGGATTAAAGGAAACTGTGAGCTACAGGAAAAACAGCAGTTCCTCAGACTTCACTGCTCTGTAGATGATTTGAAATCTGTGTTGAGATCATAGTTGTATTAGCATGACACCAATGGTTGTAATAGACCTTTTACTAACAGCCCCCTGCCCCCCCCAGCATACCCAGGCAGCCAACACGATGTCGGACATGACGGAGTGTGAGCAGGCCGAGGAGCTAGGCGCCATCAACAGCACCCTGAGGTGAGTAGAGACCTCCTGTCTCTTTTTGACACAGTCGGCTGCAGCAGCTCATTGTCAAAATGCAAAGCAGCTTCAGTCGAGCACAGCTGATAGGAACCAGATCAAACATTCACCAGCCGCTGGTGGTTTCCTGCTCTTCACAGCTAGAAGCAGCTGACTGACCCTCACTACTTGTCTGTCATGGAAAACGTGGAAGGTCATCAGAAGTTGAGACACTTAAATTTAGAGAACATTCAGACCGCACGTAAGCTTGTGCTGAGAAAAGATAATGCAACGGTCTTGGTATTTAAAAACCTGCTCAACTCGCTCGACCTAGAGTGACCTCAGGATGAAGAAACCAGGAAGTAAGAACAGACTTCAGGCATCTTGGCTTCTGGCCACTGTGTACACTCACATAGTTTCACCTCAGGGCTGAGATGGAAAACCTGGATGGACTTTTATACGTCGTGTGTTTAGACACATTCTGAATGTTTTGTGTGGACGTACATCATCTTCTGCATCAAAGCTCCAGCTCTCAATCACTAGTCAGTCACTGATCAGAGGGTGACTGTGCAGCTACGTTTAGTTTGAATTTGAAAGCTGCTGTTTTTCAAATTGTGATTTTGATCTAAAAAGGATTTATTGGTCAGTCCATGTTCGTCGTTGGTTTTCTTATTCTCACCTTTAGAAGTTGGATGACAGTGTTGAGTCAGAAAGGAGCTGATCTGTGCCACTGTTAGAAAGAGCCACAGTTAAACTTAATGTGTTTCTTGGCCCTTCATGATTGTGTCACAGTTTCAAGACGTTTAATTTGTCATGTTTTCTCTGCCGTCTCTTCATTTTATATAACTTCCTGTTTCAGTAACCAGAGTAAAGAAGCGTTTGCTGACTGGGCGAGGCATGACGACGCTCAGGACCACTTCTGTGAGCTGGACGGTGAGGACTTTATATTCTGACTGAAGCTTTGTTTGTCCTTAGTCCAGAGAAAGATATCTACTACTGACCAATTTTCCATGAAGACCACTGTGGACATTCCTGC